GTTCTTAAGGTCCAAAATTTTGGAACTTAAGGATTTTTTTTCGGAACAATTTCTTATTTCCCAGAAATTTCTTAAGTTCCAAAATTTTGGAACTTAAGAAAATTTTGTTTTTTTTTGTTTTTCGGAACAATTTATTATTTCCCAAAAATTTCTTAAGTTCCAAAATTTCGGAACTTAAGAAATCTTGGATTTTTTTTCAGAACAGTTTCTTGTTTCCCAAAAGTTTCTTAAGTTCCAAAATTTTGGAACTTAAGGAGTTTTTGGCCACAAAATTGCCTAGCCAGGGGGGTCCGCCCCCCCCGCGTAAGCCCTCGCAATTTTTTTGGCAGACCTTTTTCAACCCTAAACCCTAAACTCACCTTCAAGGCCCGCCGCAGGCGGAGAAATTTTTTTCGTATTTTTTCGAAACAATTTCTTATTTCCCAGAAAGTTCTTAAGTTCCAAAATTTTGGAACTTAAGGATTTTTTTTCGGAACAATTTCTTATTTCCCAGAAATTTCTTAAGTTCCAAAATTTCGGAACTTAAGAAAATTTTGTTTTGTTTTTCGGAACAATTTCTTATTTCCCAAAAAATTCTTAAGTTCCAAAATTTCGGAACTTAAGAAAATTGTTTTTTTTCAGAACAATTTCTTATTTCCCAAAAATTTCTTAAGTTCCAAAATTTTGGAACTTAAGGATTTTTGTTTTTCGGAACAATTTCTTATTTCCCAAAAATTTCTTAAGTTCCAAAATTTCGGAACTTAAGAAAATCTTGGATTTTTTTTCAGAACAATTTCTTGTTTCCCAAAAATTTCTTAAGTTCCAAAATTTTGGAACTTAAGGATTTTTTGGCCACAAAATTGCCTAGCCAGGGGGGTCCGCCCCCCCCGCGTAAGCCCTCGCAAATTTTTGGCAGACCTTTTTCAACCCTAAACCCTAAACTCACCTTCAAGGCCCGCCGCAGGCGGAGAAAATTTTTTCGTATTTTTCCGAAACAATTTCTTATTTCCCAGAAAGTTCTTAAGTTCCAAAATTTTGGAACTTAAGGATTTTTTTTCGGAACAATTTCTTATTTCCCAAAAATTTCTTAAGTTCCAAAATTTTGGAACTTAAGAAAATTTTGTTTTTTTTTCGGAACAATTTATTATTTCCCAAAAATTTCTTAAGTTCCAAAATTTCGGAACTTAAGGCTTTTTGTTTTTCGGAAAAAATATTTCCCAAAAAATTCTTAAGTTCCAAAATTTTGGAACTTAAGATTTTTTTTCGGAACAATTTCTTATTTCCCAAAAATTTCTTAAGTTCCAAAATTTCGGAACTTAAGAAAATTTTGTTTATTTTTTTCAGAACAATTTCTTATTTCCCAAAAATTTCTTAAGTTCCAAAATTTTGGAACTTAAGGATTTTTGTTTTTCGGAACAATTTCTTATTTCCCAAAAATTTCTTAAGTTCCAAAATTTTGGAACTTAAGGATTTTTGTTTTTCGGAAAAAAATATTTCCCAAAAATTTCTTAAGTTCCAAAATTTTGGAACTTAAGATTTTTTTTCGGAACAATTTCTTATTTTCCAAAAATTTCTTAAGTTCCAAAATTTTGGAACTTAAGATTAAGATTTTTTTTTCGGAACAATTTCTTATTTCCCAAAAAATTCTTAAGTTCCAAAATTTTGGAACTTAAGGATTTTTTTTCGAAACAATTTCTTTTTTCCCAAAAAAAAATAAGTTTCAAAATTTTGGAACTTAAGATTTTTTGGGGAAATATATGTTTTTTTTAAACAGAAAAAAACTTAATTCCCCAGACCAAATCCTTAATTCCCCAGACAAAATCCTTAATTCCCTGAAATTTTCTTAAGTTCCAAAAAAAAAGAACTGATCTTTTTAAGCCCTTTTTTCCAAAAGTCCTACGTAGGAAAACTAGCTGTTTTGGAGCCAAACCCATGGTTTTTGATGCATTTTTCTACGTAGGATTAGGTGATTTTCACCTAATCCTACGTAGAAAAATGCATCAAAAACCATGGTTTTGGCTCCAAAACAGCTAGTTTTCCTACGTAGGACTTTTGGAAAAAAGGGCTTAAAAAGATCAGTTCTTTTTTTTTGGAACTTAAGAAAATTTCAGGGAATTAAGGATTTTGTCTGGGGAATTAAGGATTTGGTCTGGGGAATTAAGGTTTTTTTCTGTTTTAAAAAAAAATATTTCCCCAAAAAATTATTAAGTTCCAAAATTTTGAAACTTATTTTTTTTGGGAAATAAGAAATTGCTTCGAAAAAAAAATCCTTAAGTTCCAAAATTTTGGAACTTAAGATTTTTTTGGGAAATAATGAAATTGTTCCGAAAAAAAATCTTAATCTTAAGTTCCAAAATTTTGGAACTTAAGAAATTTTTGGAAAATATGTTTTTTCCGAAAAACAAAAAGCCTTAAGTTCCAAAATTTTGGAACTTAAGAAATTTTTGGAAAATAAGAAATTGTTCCGAAAAACAAAAATCCTTAAGTTCCAAAATTTTGGAACTTAAGAAATTTTTGGGAAATAAGAAATTGTTCTGAAAAGAAACAAAATTTTCTTAAGTTCCGAAATTTTGGAACTTAAGAAATTTTTGGGAAATAAGAAATTGTTCTGAAAAAAAATCTTAAGTTCCGAAATTTTGGAACTTAAGAATTTTTTGGGAAATAAGAAATTGTTCCGAAAAACAAAAATCCTTAAGTTCCAGAATTTTGGAACTTAAGATTTTTTTGGGAAATAAGAAATTGTTCCGAAAAAAAATCCTTCAGTCTTTGAGTCTTAAGTCTTAAGTTCCAAAATTTTGGAACTTAAGATTTTTTTGAGGACAATTTCTTTGGGAAATAAGATAAAAAAAATCTGCCGTGCTGTATTGACCGTCCTGCCCCCCCCAGCACCGCCCCTCAACAGAAGAATATCTAGAATCAAGGAACGAAATAACTAATACAGCGAAAAAAAATAATCTACTTTCATTACATTGATGTCATTGAATATGTTCATGTTCCCAGCTTCCAGCAGAAACTAATAAATCGGTCTGACGGTCCTGTCGCTGCCACTCATTGTAGATTGCAATGGTCAAGCCAAATCTAAGAACCTTCAGCTGTTGGCAGTTTAGCCACCATTTAGACAAGGGACAACAGAAAACAATGGAAAGGTCTGCGCTGCACGTCTGCCAGTTTGCAGTTTGCCCCCAAAGAACAGAAACCTGTTGAGTTTTGTGCCCAACTTCTCTGTGCGACAAATGCATTGCTGCTTCTTTCACAAGAATAAGTACAGAAGTCGAGCACAGCCAATGAAAGGGCAGCAAGACTTGCAGCAAGACAAACATGACACAATTCACACCGGGTAGCTTGCCACCAAGGTGCTTAGAGCTTCATAGTGAACAATTTCCTGCTTCAATTCTTCCAGCGACGGCAATGCATCATCAGTCTTTGGCGGAGCCTAGCAGTCAAGTGATTAGGAATCAGTCTGCAGAAGTGAGTCCCAGAGTCCCAGGTCATTGCTGAATAAACATGAATAAACAACAACACACCGTGAGTTTGGCCGAAGGCAATATGAATTCATGTTTTGATGATTCTGCATAGGGAATAAGCTATTAGCCTGAGCCCTGCACCATGGATACATGACGCTTCCGGAGAGCTTCAGCATCCTCACCCTCACGCTGCACCAGCTTAAAGCCTGAGCATTGTGCCAGTGCCAGGTCAAAACATTTGGGTGTAATAAAGCAAGGTTTCAGAGCCTAACTGGCCCAACTCAACCATTAAAGCTGTGGGCTTGAGGAAGCAAAAGAAAACATATCATCCAGTCATCCAGTCCTGCACAGGAACCGCTACTCAAACACCATGCCAGCATCCTGATGACCAATGGTTCAGAAGCGTCTGCACTCACTGTCATCTCCTTCTTGCACTTGCGTTCTTTGGTCTTTCCATGCACGTCAACTCGAGTACTTTTGTGGCAAGGGCAAGTAGTGTAGTATGCAACCTCAAAGCAAGATGCAAGGGCACTGCCACACATTGCAAAAAGACCATGTGTCAACACTAACACTGAACGTCAAGGCAAAACAAAAAAAAACATCCAATCATTCCAAGCCAAGCCAAGTCAAGTCAAGGTATTACACCATCGACCTACCCCTTCAGAAATCCGAGGAACACTGCTTTTGTCCATCCTTTTCACTATCGGAATATTGCCAAGCCAGACAGTCGACATGTTGAACATTGAAGAAGGTTCCGGAGCTTGCTCAGCTGGCTGTCTTGGAATCTCAAGCCGTGGGGCGCTGTCATCCTCAATAGATCTTCTTTCAGAACTTCCAGGCATTGCCGGACCAGCTGCCTTCGATGATGACGATGAAGCTGCAGCTGGAGCAGATACAGCCGGACCAGCTGCCTTCGATGATGAAGATGAAGCTGAGACTTCTGCAGGTGAGCTTGCTGCTAAAGAAAGCACTGGATCACAAGCAGGAAGATGAGTTTTGCTGACGTCCACATTCTGGCCGGATATGGTCTCTTCGGAAACATCAGCCTGACCAGCTGAGTCAGCAGCTGCAGAATGCTCCATGTGTTGCCCTGTGCCTGCATATACACCTGCTACTGCATCTTCATCTTCTGAAGAAGATTTGATAACTTCAATCTCTGCAACTTCGGGCGGTAATGAAGCTGGTGGCAATGATTCTTCCATTTCCTGTTTCACTGGCACTGTGCGCCTGCGTTTCCGGTGGCTGTCATTTTTGAAGTCTTCGTCTCCTTTCTTTTCATCTACTTTTCTTTGTTTTCTTTTCTCTTTTCCAGCTTGAGCTTGAGCTGAAAAACGGGATGCAGCTGCCACCGCTTTCAGAAGATTGCCAGAACCTGCAACTGCTCCAGGTGGTAGGTCTGGCCCTTCTTGCACTGCAGCCTTGCCATCTTGTTCATCACTGGCATCGCTGTCTGAGCAAGAAATTGCATTGGCTCCTGAGCTTGGAGCAGCTGCAGCTGCAGCTGCTGTTCTCGATTTTTTTCTTCTTGTCTTGGAAGTTTGGCTGTGTTGTTGAGCATCACCTTGAGGCTCTTGAGGACGACAAAAAAAAATTTGGCTCTTCTTCCTCTTGCAGAAGATCAGTTCCCTTTGAACGATTCGCTTTGCCGCCACCAGGTTCCTGCTGCATCTTCACCATCTGTTTGTATTCTGCAGCCGGTCGATGTGGCTTCAGATTCTTCAGGTTCTCTGCAGCCCCCATCTTCGCCAAAGACAAAATGCAATCATAATAAGCTTTTGATTGGCAATGGAAAATGGACGAGATTCCAGCTTCAAACAGCCAGTCACACTGCAGCAACACCTGCAGGTATGAGCGGTGGAAACTTCCGGCGCCGGGAGTCAAGATGGTGAATTCCTTCTCATCACCCTTTGAAAAGAAGTCATTCCGATCCAAGTCCTGCACCTCCCACCCGCAGTGAAGCATCATCATAAAGAGTTCAAACCTGGACTGCTCGTGAATCTGCAACTGTGATGATGTAGACCTGAGCTGCGCTTTTACTGATGTTTTTGCCTAGTTATTCAGAGAACTCTTGCCTTTGACTGTGACTGTGGGTTAAACCAGGTAATAAAATGAACAATACAATAGTTCCAAATCGAATAACAGCAAGTAGTTTGACCAATGTTTGATTGTTTGACCAGTTGATTGCAACAAACATATAACAAGATTTCCCTTGAAAGAGGTCCTCGGGGTGAATGGGGTCCTGGATGCGCGCGCGCCGTGCGATCCCCACCCTTTTAGCAGGGGAGGGGGACCCCTATATGTAACTTACATTTTCTCTATATTTCAGTTTCAGGTGTCAAAAATGCAATATTACATTTTTGACATCGGACCTAAAAATGTAAGTAGTCTTACTTACAGTCTTACATTTATAGATGTTACGAAAGAATTTGTAATATTACAGTCCTAGGTCCTAGGCGTCCTAGGACCTATAGAAAATGTGATATCACATTCCACTGGCCGATCCAGGAACATCTGTGTTCGATCTGGGAACACCAGTCGAATGTCCCCCTCTCCAACTGAATGTTCCCGGATCGGCCATTGGCTGAAAGCATGTTTGATCGATTTGCCGAAACCAGGTATTTTTGATACCTTTTAGGCGGTCGGCGGTTGTAAGTTACATTTTCTGCCCCCCCACGGCCCCACCCCCCCCAGAAAATGTAAGTTACATAAGGTCCCCCTCCCAGAAAGGGATGCCGCGCGCGCGCGTAAAAAGCTTCAATTTGGAGCTCTTTAAGCGCGCGTGCGCGGCGGTGTGCCCAGGCCAGGACCCCTTTCACTCCGAGGACCCCTTTCAAAGGAAATCTTTCAAAGGAAATCTGTGATGACATTGATGGTGTCACAGTGAGTGTTGACATTGTCTCATCAGTCATCAGTGATCAGTCAACTTGAAACAGCAGCCAGGAAGCTTGTGATACTCTTCCAAGGATTGCTCGCTCCCAGCTAGAAGCCTCATCTGCAGATTTTTGGCGCCCTTGGTCGTGATGTAGAAATGGCGTGGGTTTGATTTGGATTCAACAATCAAGCCAGCTGCCAATAGCTTTGCACAAGCAACATCATCATCCACACCAGCATCTGGATCTGGCTCTGGAATGAAAAAAGAAGTGCAATTTGAAGAACCAACCCGGGCAAAGCTGGACCCCCATGCTTTGGCTTCAGCCATTTGCAGTAGGAGATCCCCAGCATCTGAATCATCCAAAGGGTCAATTTTGATCTCTTGCAGAGTCCATAAAGTAGCTTTCCGTGTCAAGTCTGTAGCAGATGCATCTTTGAGATTGCACAAGCGAGCTTCCCCTAGGGGCGCAATCTCTTCCTGCCCATCAATTGACTCTGCGCAACGCTTCTCAAATATTTGCACATGCACGTCAAAGTCGGTTGGCTTTTGCTGCAGTGTCATGTGCTGATAGAAATTTCGCTCAATTCGCAGAAAAACATTCTGATTCTTCAAGGTCAGGTGAGTCAAGTCCAGTGAATTCTTTGCAGTTTCTTGCGCCGGCAAAGCAAAGTGATTGTCACCGCCATGAAGTGTTGCGCCTGCAGGCTGCAAATCTGAGATGGCCAAATGGTCAGTGCCACTCAGCTCCGTTGTTTTGATAAAGTTGACCAGACACATCGACACACACCCCGCCCCTCTTACTTCTTCATTCATGTAATAACTCAGCTGCAGTGGCAGCAGCAATGACAGCAAACATTGGCAATAGCAGCAGACAAACCGGAATCACATGTGTTGGTGAAAGCCAGTGATTGCAGGCAGTCATACATTGCCACATTGCTACATATCAAGACACCTTGCCAATGAGTTCATGAGTTCAATGAGTTCATGACAAAATTATTGCACAAGTCAAGTGAGTGAACTGAACAACTGAACATAACAGAATTAACAGAATACACTAATACACTCGATTCGACTTGACAAGACATTGACTCTGGGCCTCTGGGCTCTGGGAAACAATGACTTCATGTCCGAGTCCGAGTCCAATGATCAGTATAAGTATAAGTGAGTGTGAAGTGAAGTGTGAAATGTTAAATTACATGCAACTCCAACTCCAACTGCATCGGGCCGCAAACTGCGCATAATACTGATAAAGTAATTAAACATTTTTCACCAGCCGCCAGCCTGGAATTGATGGACGTGATGCTGCTGGTTGAAACTGTGGTAACAAAAGGTTCTCGTCATCGTCATCATCATAGTCGTGATCATGTGAATCTTCCTGAAAGTCATCTCCCGTTCCAGTTCCCCGCTCAAGTTGTGAAGAGCTGCCGTCGCCGTGGCTGAGTGCTTTGCTAGAGAAAGCCGATTCCATGGAACAAAGCCGGTCTTCAATGAAGTTCCGGGGGAAGGCCACCAAAATGTGTCTGTCTCTCTCACACACCTGGGTGCAGCACTGGCACTGGCGGCACTGGGCATTATCTTTTATCGGAAACTAAACCTTCTCAAATTTTTGTGGGGCTCGGAGTCGGCGTCGGAGTCGTGCAAGTATGTGTGGGCCAGCGGCCAGGGCATGTGGATGTGGGGCAGGGGTCTAGGCCGAGGCTTGCTTGACCAGAAACTTTTCTCAAACTGGACCCGGTCCCCGACTCCTGACCCAAGTATGCGGTTTAATCTGATGCAATTCAGTTCAATAATGTGATGCAATCCCTTGGTTAGGATGACAGGACTGGACTCATGACTCGAGTCTCAAGTGACTCAAGTCTCAAGTAGAGCCTAAAGGAGCCAATGGAGCACTACCAAAACCAGATTGAAAGCCCTATATTAGTAATAGTAACAGTAATAGTAATAGTAACATGTATATAGTATATAGTAGTATATAGTACCAGTAGTACCGCACAAGGCGGTGGCGGAAGTTTCAAAAATGAAAAACCTATAGGAGAGGAGAGGTCGGAGAGGTGAGTTGCTGTGGCGCAAAAATGGCAGAGAGAACCAACCCACTGATGGATTGAAAGGTGGTTGAGTGTTTCTGCCTTTCTGTCTTTCTCTTTCTCTTTCTCTCTGTCTCTCTCTTTCGGCATCTATCTACAGAGTTACCTTTCTAGCCATCTACCTTTCTACCTGTCTATTCATGTAGCTATCGTTCGATGTGTTTATTCACCTAACTCTTAAACTCTCCATCTTTCTGTCTATCCAGCCATGCATCCATCCACTTAGTTCTCTCTGATTCTCTCTGTTAGTTTTTTTTCCATTCATCTCTTAACCCATGTCCACAGGTATCCATCACCATGTCATCATGTTCTTCGTTCTGTGTCTCTATCGATTCATCCATGCATCTGTCCGTCTCTCTCTTCTTCCAGCCATCCATCGATCTATCTAGCTATCCATGAGTTTATCTGGACATGGACGCTTCTAGCGATCTTTCGATCTAGCGATCTGTGTGTCCATCTGTCGTTCCATCTACCTGTCTATTGATCGATCTGTCTCTCTATCTAGCCACCCATCTTTCGATTTATCCCTCGATGTATTTATGGATCTTGCGAAACATCGAACTGTCTATGTATCCATCGATCTAGTTACCCGTCTATCTATCGATTTAGCTATCAAATCCCATGGCAATGGCACTGGCACCTATTCCCTGTTGTGCTTCCAAAACCGATGCCTGCCAGAGGGCCCCACTGCGTTATTTTCCTTCGTCGGCAGTCGGTTGCATGATCGGTGTCGGAGACAAAACGGATGCAAAACCTAGACGCGACACGGATGGGGGGTCAGAAGAAACATCATCACACCAGCGTTCCAACGAGAACACTGGTAACAACATGTCAACATGGTCTGCAGAATCGAGAGCGCGACCAGAAAAGACACACGCTCCATTTAAAGTCGTGCTTCCAAAATGGGTATCTGCGAGAGTTCCCACTGCGCTACGCCACCAATACTAGTGTGGAGCTCCTCCCTGCTGCATCACATCATTGTGTTTCTCTATCGATCTAGCTATCGATCAATCTATCAATCTATCAATCTATCTATCTATCTATCTCATCTCCCCAGCTGGCTCTGCGCCCGCCTACCTTTTCGCGCATCTGCCGTCTGCCGCATCTTCTTTTTGCTGACTCTTTCGCTTCTATTCTTCTCTCGTCTAATCTTTCTCTCCTCTCTGCCTCTGCCTTGCTTTCCTTATTATCTGTCCATATTTGGTGAAGTGTAGTGAGTGAGGAGTGTAATTTAGTGTATTGGAATTTGGAATGTACTTAGTGGGGTGGGGTGTTGTAGTTGTGTAGTTGTGTGGTTGTAGTTGTAGTTGTGGCAGTTGTGGTCTAGTGGAGTGGAGTGTAGTCAGTCTTAATGTAGTGAAGTATATTGTGGAAGGTAGTGTAATGTAGTGTAATGTGTGGTGTAGTGGAATGTAGTCTTCTGTAATGCAGCGTGCAGCGTGGTGTAGTGAAGTGTAGTTAGTGTAATGTATAATGTAGTGTATGGTATGTCTGTCTATCTATCTATCTATCTGTCTGTCTATCTATCCATCTATCCATCTATCCATCTATCCACTGCCACCACCTATCTATCTATCTAGCTATCTATCTATCTAGTTTAACACGGTAATGTAGTGTCAGTGTCAGTGTAGTGTAGTGTAGTGTAGTGAAGTGAAGGCATCTCACCATCCAAAAGTGGTCCGAGCCCGAGCATGGTGTGCTTTGTTTTGTACATTTTGACTTCAAAATGTGCTTCGTGCCACAACGGCGTGCACTTTTTCGACATCGCAACTTCCAAAAGTGGTCCGAACCTGGTGTGTTTTGTACATGTTGACTGCAAAATGTGCTTCGCACCACAACGGCGTGCAAATTTTCATCTCTCATCTGGCCAGCTGGCTCCGCACCCGCCGCTTTAGCGAGCCTACTTTTCGACCCTCCGGACTCCGGAGCCACAAATCACAGGAACACAGTGTTTCGCCACTTTCAGTGTTTCACGACGTTCCTACCTTTTCGCGCACCTGCATCAGCCTGCATCTTCTTTCTTCTGATCTTGTCTCTTCTGACTGTTATCACCTCTGCTTTTCAACTGTCCATATTGTCGGAAGTTTGACTTCTAAACTTCCTTCGATAAGTATAGGCTTGCTTCTGATCAGGATCCCATGAGCATGTGATTATGTGGGGCCCAAGTCCAAGCGCCTCAACCAAGAATTCGACGAGGGCAGCAGACAAAGCCTCTGCCTTCCTCTTGCCGCTCTCCCCAGAATCGGCCTCCGCTGCATTCTTCTGGAGGAGATTGTCAACGGCCATTCGAATTTGCCCAGCTGTACTGTGCTTGAGGCTGAGATCATCCCTGTAGAGTAGATCCGCCAGCTGCCTCTCCTTGAGGTTGCAGATGTGAAGGTTTGCTTGGCGGAGACCAAGGATTGCAACAACGGCAGTCCGGAAGCCACTCAAAGATGACAATGATTTGTATAGATTCTCGATGGCATGCTGAAAGAGTCTCGGTTCCACTATGGCCGTGTGGACAAGCTGGGAGAATCTCAGATCGAGGCTAAGGTAGCTCAACGAAGCTGCTGGTGCCCGAGCAAGCGTCCTCTTCACGATCGAGTGAAGGCCTTCTGTCGAACGTTCGATGACCCGAACCTGGGCTCCACTGCTGCAGAACACACACACACACTTGCTCAGGATGATGCTTTACAATGTCTAAGCAACAAGGACTTCGAAACAGGTAGCCAAATGAAAATGTGAAACCATTTGCTCAAATGTGAGCCCCACAAGCCACAAGCACTGCTTATTTGGTCCTTGCTTGGCAATCACATCTGCATGAACAGTGCATGTAAATGTATATAAAATAAAACATACTAAAACCATAAACCATATAAAACAAATCCAAACTGGCACTGGCACTGCCAATCATTCATGAGAGAGCCAAGTAACATGCTGGAAGCGGCAAACCCAACCACCAAACTCTGCGAGCTCATCTGCCGAGAATGTCTCAAGTGGTTCACCTCCAGTTGAGCGCTTCAATGACACACTTGGTCTGAAGTCTGAAGCACATGTCATGACATGTACTAAAGGACACTGACACATGTGTAATTGTTTTCTTGAAAACAAACCTGACAAAGCTCATGGCACATGGTACCAACTTGACATCAACTTACAAACATGTGGGAGTGCAATGGGCTGGTGAAAACTCAGCTAAAAAAATCTGGTCTATAATGGTCTCTGGGCGTGGTTGAATTCAAGGCTGAACGTCATGTTCTGAAGGCTGTTTGGCAAGTTCACTCTCTTATTTACTTCCTTGGAAACAGGCAGTTACCATTTACCTAGTTGTCAGTGTTTGCGCGTGGGCCCTACCCGTATGTATGTAAGTATGTATGTATGTTCAAAATGAAAGGGTGTGTCATGGTGTGTCATACCGTTTCTGGGCTAAAATGTGGCATCCGGAAGACCCCTCCCCCACGTCTTTTAGAAGCCCAAAAAAACACGTGGGGTGTATATTTCAGGTGTCGGTCAGGTGAAATATTTCTCAGAAATTTCATGCCTTACCCCCCCCCGACAAATTCCAGGGTTAAAGGGGGGGGATGTGAAAACATTAGTCCCCCATAACCCCCATATATTGTTTATCTTGCATGATATGGTGTTTATCGGCTTTGTGTACCATCCCTACTGCAGACTGCAGACTGCTGATTCTGGCCTCGGGAAAGCCGTTCCAGAAATGGCCTCAACGGGATCTCATCGCCGTTACTGTCGAGGCCTTTCCAGTCGGGCTGGCAAAACCGCCTTGTCATTGCATGTTGGAGATGATGTTGTTCTGGAGGCAGGCCGTCAAACTCCTGCAATGCCTTTGAAGCTATATTGCGAACTTCCACTGGGTCACTGGAGGCAAGCCCGCCTGAGGACATTTGGCAGGACAGGCTACAGCTGTGAAACACGCTTCATGCTAGTTTTGACTTTTGACAAAACAATTCGCTGCAAAACCGAAAAGTAAGCCAAGCTGCACAGGAGCCATGGCAAGCACTGCCAGAAACGCAGCTTTGCAAACATTTCACCTTGGATTCTGGATGGATGTAAAATAAGTCAACTCCTTGTCCTTGTCCTTGTCCTTGTCCTTGTGGTTGTTGTTGTTGTTGTTGTTGTTGTTGTTGTTGTTGTTGCTGTTGTTGTTGTTGTCGTTGTCGTTGTCGTTGTCGTTGTCGTTGTTGTTGTTGTTGTTGTTTGATATAGGAGAAGGAGAACTGAAATGCCGATGCAGCATGGCCTGGCTTATGCATGTTCCACACAAACACCAAAAACATCCCTACCCCTCTAGAGGGGGAGGGCGGGGGGGGACAAAACCAACCTGTCGAATTCCACTTTTTTTTGCTTGGAAACCCTGGGATAGTGATCCAACCCCTCAAATGGAATTGTAAAGTAACATTTCTTAACAAGCCTTGGGCACTGGTTAGAAAATACTTGCGTATGATGACGGCAGCGCAATTTTTGGAGGGATGCCATCCCTACACATGTGCTGCTTCAGTCTGATATGTGCTTGGCTCCTCCGGAGCTAAGCGCAAGTATTTAATTTTCATCTGCCTGCCAATGACATGGAATGATGAGGAATATTGATTATTGAGAAAGCATGATTGCAACAATGGAATTTTAAAATGAAATTTCAGTACGACTCCCCGTCCCCGGCCCCCCCCTCAAATTCCATTTTTTAAGAGGGTAGGATTCCAAAAACAATGTGGGGCTGTCTAAAAACCCCGATATCAATCAAATGGTGTTTCCACGCGTTACGCGTTATCGTTTTTTTTTCCTCTTATCGTTTTTCCAAGTGCTGGCTTCACACCCTCATGAAACAATTCATATTGTGTTTTCTTTGTGGGATATCACCTTACAACCACCAGCTTCAAATCTGTTTTTCGGGGAAAAGCTTGCATCTGCAAAGCTTGCTGCTTCGAACATGTCCCATAAACAATATATATAATGTATATGTATGAGCATCGTTATCGTTTTTTCCCTCTTATCATTTTCTCGAGTGAGAACTACATATATATGCTAATGGGGGATCATGGCATACTAAACGAATAGGTGCCGGTGCCGGGTTATTATACTCTCCCATGTGAATCGTATCTTCTCCTTGCAAAAAAGTTGCTCCAAAGGCGAGATCTGGCCGCCAACCAGTCTTGGAGAATTGCAGCCTTTTCCTCTGCTGAAACGCCAGAACAATGATACAGGATCCGCTCCTGAGATGGAAAGGTGCGGGGCGGTCCATATGGCGCTGTTTGCGCTCAAGTGTGAAAAACTTCAAATTTGGTTTGAGTTTTGAGAAAACTGTTCGAAATGTCAAGCATATTGAAACAAATCCAAACAAAATTCTGTCAAATATAAATTCAAGCGCAAGTTGCAAATTTACAGAAAAGTATAGTGAGCAGAGTCCAGATAGAGCAGAACAGAGAAGCATGCAAAAGGATGGCGAGGAGAGGAAGGAAGAGAGGCACAAGAGCGAGAGAGAGAGAGAGAGTAGAAAGAGAGAGAGAGAAGAAAGAGAGAGAAGGAGAGAGAAAAAAAGAGAAAGAAAAAGAAAGAGCGATGAATTTTAGACCCTGGGCCCGGGCGGCCCGGGCCCTTTAATTTAATCAAGGATCGCGATCGTACATCAGTTCTTGACGTTGCAGATCTAGAGCCTTGCCAGAAGCTAACTCGATGGCTCTGCAGCCTCTAAAGCCGCAACTGTTGCCTGAGACCACTGGCCCTGGACAGAGTTTCTTCAGCTGAGACGGGCTCTCATCACTTCCATCATCATCGCAATTCTCAGAGCTATGGCAAGGGCACTTCTCTGCCCAAGAAGCCAAGACATTGGCTTCGCGAGCTAGATCGCCTTATAGATTGGCCGAAGTGAGCGGTTGGTTGGTTTATGCGTTTGCTGCTTCATCTCATCGACTGTCTCAATCTCCAAATCTATACAATACAAGACAATACAAAGTCCTACTAGTCCTAGTCGGAGTCCTAGTACAGTCTGCTTTAGTCTTGATCCAAAAGTGTCAAAATGCCAAGTGAATAGTAATATTGCATTTGCATTGTGAATTGCAGAGCGGTTGTTTGAGACTGGTTGGTAAGGTATCGCTGGTATAGCCGGCAAAGCTACCACATCTTTAGGTGCCCATCCCACGGCCCACACCACACCCAGTCAAAAAACTCAGAGTTGCAGTCCAGCTTCTGATCAGATGGACGTGGCCCCAGAAACAGGGATCTTTCAAAACCTGGTCCAGCTTCTCAACCGTCACTCCGGACTCTTGATTTGATTCAGAATGGAGTGCGTCCTTCTCATTTGCTAAAATGGCCCCTCCAGTCACTCCAGTCTTGTTCATGAATAGATCTTTGTTCCAGCTCTGCCTGAGAACAAGGCGAAAGCACACCCATGCGGCCATGCGGCTGCAACTGCTGTTCACTGTTCACTGTTCACTGCTCTCACTCGTCGTTGTCTTAACCAAAACGTGACACCACGAGTCCACGAGACGAGAACAAGACCAAAAGGAAGAATCTTGTTGAACAGGCCTTCACACTCTGCATGCAGCCAGGTTGCCTGAGAAGTCTTTCCAGCGGGAGTAACGCTAAGGTGAACTCTAAAATTGCCTGCCACCTCAAACCCTTCAAGCTGTGACTCCACTTGTTGAGGTTGTCCTCTGCAGCACGTTTCTCTCCGACGCAAATGTACAAGAAGCGCTCTCTGTAGAGAGGTCGACATAGAAGCACTTCCACCATGCGCAAGCCCTGTAAGAGCGCAGGCCAGCACTTGCAAGATTGCAGGATGTGACCCAAACAATTGTCGCTCACATGGAGCATCCCAGGAATTCGTAATGCATTTGCAAACTGTTTGAGGTCAAGAAGTGAATTGCCTTCGCCTTCACCACCCTCAGCTTCAGGTTCTTGGTCAGCTCGGTCATCAGGCTGTCCATTTCCAGCTGGTTGCCTTTGGTCACTCAGAGTTGGAAATCAACATAAGATGCTTGCGAATCCCGAAAGGCCCAAACTCAAACCCATGCCGCCGCATGCCGCCGAATGCCGCCCTATATAAAGAGCAACCCAGGAAGCCTAAGCCCAGCTACAATAAGTTCTGCTCCTCCATCTCAGAGTCGCTCTCAGGCCCATGCACAATCGTGGCCCAATCCTGCTCAGTCTTGCTCAAATTAATCCTGGGCGCCTCGTTGAGCTTGAACTCACTGCCTGATGCAGGCTGCAAAAGAATTACATTTTCGGCACAAATCTGACATACAATACATGCTTGATGATCATGCTATATGATGGTTTCAACCGGGCCGGACCAAAAAATGTGCTGGCCACATGCCACATGCAACATGACCTGCGGTGACCTGCATGTTCAAAATTCACTATCCACCTCCCCTGCCATCACCTGTTTTGAGACTGACTTGCCATGCAATGCGCCTTGGTCAGAGACCATGCAAATGACCGACTGGCAGTAAGACTCAAACTGATCGCGGCCAGTCTCCAGTCGAAGCACCCATAGAAGCGCATCAAGCTTATTGCAAAAGCCAGAGCAACCTTGCATCCCAGGTGGAAATTGCCAAATTACATATTTATATAGTTGCACTGTCACTGTCCTATAGTCCTGTCCTTGTTGAGCCTTCAAGCCTTGTTGCCTTCGAATTCCGATGTTAGATGTTCTGTCTGTATAGTCACTGTAGTCACTGTAGTCTGTAGTCTGTAGTTCGTTGTGTTATTCTGGTAATTTAAAAAAAGCTTAGCCAAGGCCAGGCCAAGGCGCCCTTGCCCAAAGACACAAGAGGCAGAGGTCTGCGTGACGTTCTTGCAGATGCTGTATCATGCTTCCAATCGTCAAAGCAATCTGCCAGCCTCATCTTGTCATCGGCTCACACTCACACTGATAACATTGCAATACAATGCAAATACTGATTCAGGATTCCTATCGAGTCGAGTTAGTCGAGTTGCAACTTTCCTATCGAGTTGCTTAGTCATGTACTCCTCCACAACAAACAAGTCTTTCCGCTGGGGAGTGGAATCGAAGCCTTGGCAAGGGCAGGGCGAGCAAGTGGCAAGCTGCATGAAACCCGGGACCCCGGCCCCGAGCCGTGCTTTTGCTAATGAATGGCCCGACCCTTTCCCAAAAGTAAAATTGTTTAAGTTTAATGCCAAATGCCAAATGCCAATTTTGCACCTTGATAAATCATTGACATGTGCTGGCCAGTGTGGCACTTGGCATGTGCATGTGCCATGTGACAAGTCAAGTGCCAAGTGCCAAGCTCTTTGAATTTTGTCCTGTGCCTGTGCAAGTGCAGGTCTTGCTGGGACACTGGCAGTGCAGGTCCATCGCGCTAAGCTGCCCGGGCTGGCATGTACAATGAAATGATCTGAACAATGGCAATGGCAGTCTGGAAGGGAAAACAGTCAAAGTTGAAAATGATGTGAGTGTGAGTGTGAGTATATGGGGATGGGTCAAAACCCTGGTACCTAGTGACAGTGAACCCCAAAATAGCTGGTAAATGGATGTTCATCCCACTAAAAATGTATCTATAGGTATTGACCCATACCCATATAGATGTTAGTTCGATGGCATGAAATAGTCTCGGTCTCAAGTCTCATGTGTCAAGTCACTGTTGCCAATGCCACCTGTAACAGGTCAGCAGTCAAAGCCTCTCGAGTCTCGAACCACTTACCAAAATCTGTTGAGCTCAGCTCAGCTGAGCCAACTGACTGTTGAGCTAGGCTTGGGCTCCGAAGTTGCAAGCCATCTCCTGTGAACCTATGTCAAAAGCCATTTGAAAGTTCACATCGACCATCATGGCATAGTAGCTCGACAGTAGGCTGAAGGCTTTGGCATGCTCAATCCCACCACAAAGTCCAGCTGGCAAAATAAACACATCATTCAGCCAGCCATTCAGCCATTCAGCCATCCCGTAGCCTGTTCGGGCTCATCCGCATAACGCTTCAAATCTTTGGTCTTGAAGAAACTTGCAATTTTCTGGTTCATGGGAGAAAGGAACAGCAACTTCTCGGTCTTGGCCTCGGCCTCGCTCTCACTCTCGATCTTGCATTCTCCAGGACTGTCAATGTCAGGCTCCTTCTCCAGCAGCCGCTTGCTCTCTTCAACTTGGTTGATGATGGGCAGCAGGCAGTGGATCATTATTCATCATTGGTAATTGGTAATGTGATTTGATTTGAATCACTAATAAAACTGAACCTTTGATTCTGATTCTGATGTCTACTAACTAGCCTGCTTGTAATAGAGTGACTGCACTGAAGACTGTGACTGAAGCATGGTAAACAATAGCTTATACAACAAGTGTCATCATACATCTGTGTGTACAGTCTGCTGCATCTATCTATCTGCTAGCCTGGCTAGCCATCCAGTCAGTCCAGCTGGAAATCTGTCTAACCTCAAAAAAGGACAATGCTTTCAATGCTTGGTCGAGAAACCAAGTTGTGCTTTCACCTCAGGAGGGGCGAAGTTGTCAGAGCACACCAGATCGCGGACCACCTGAATACAGCCAGGCACGTCACGTCAAGTCACGTCAAGTCCTACCCAAACAGCTCGATGCCAAAGGCTGATTGCTCAAGTGCCAAGTGCCAAGTGCCAAGTGCATACAACTTACCTTCCAACTTACAACTTATAATATAAGTAAGTACTGGCACTGGCACTGGTACTGGTACTATAGTACCTTATACCGTGCCGTGCCGTCCCGTATACAACAATTGCCAATACTCATGTTTTCAATAGCAATCAACACCAGCTCAGATCCCACTCACATGATTCAGTAACAGTCGAGAGTCGAGTCCATGTCGCCCCAGAAGAGCAACCGGATGGACTTGGCCCATGGAGTTGTAGGTGGCATTGCTGGCATTGCTCAGCACAGGATTGGGCGCTCGCTGGCAGCTGGCGTTGGGAATGATTTCAGCCAAAATTAGCTCAGCCGGCCGCCCGCCGGTCATGATCATGTAACTGTAACTGTTACTGTTACGGTGATCAGACTTCAAACTACTTCAAACTCCTCGTGCAGACTACCAGACTGATCAGACTCTGACTCTCCGGATTCCAGACTCTAACTTCAAAATTCCATGTTGACTGACTGTTGACTGTTGACTGTTGACTGAGTTGACACTGTTGAATGTTCTTCAAATCATAGCAATCCTGCAATGCTGCACAATGCGCAACTTCAACAAGCACCTAAGGGCCTACGCCTACGCCCCTTGCCGTTGGAATGAAAAAGCCAAGCAGCCAATGGAGAGCACTGCTTGCCCTTGCCAATTTGCCCATTGCTGCTGCCTGAGGAGCATCATGAACGCATCCAAACGATATCTCGCCCGAGACATGGTCGAAGCGGAGGGACCAGCTTCTCCTGTAAGAATTGCACTGGCCATTGCAAGACTGCAATGCAAAAATTTCAAAATGTGATTCCAGCCAGATTTCCCCCTCAGCTCCTCCACGGTTCCGTGAAATTCCGTCCGAAGAGATGGATTGCAAAAAATCTTGGAAATCTCCACAACAGAGGTGGTAAGCCGATTCAATGACTAGAGTCAGGCGACGCTGATCTCTCAGGTTCACGCCAATTGTCATGAACTCCTTGGTTAACATGACTCATCTTGACAATCAGCAACCAACATCATCATCATCCACAAGCCACAAGCCAGTGCTGCAGCCAGGGGCCAGGAGTCCTGTTATTTCAATTGCTCTTAATCAAGTGGCACAAATAGATAAATAACATGACGTGACATAGCATGGCAATGGTAATGGCAAAAGCATTGGCAAAATGGCAAGGCACAAATATCTGTCGAAGACTGTAGCTGGCCTGGCCACGGCCAAAGCGAGTCGATGGTTGGAGTGGCCTGATCACAGCTTCACCCATTGCAGCCTTGTATTCCTGGTCTGCCTCAGTCAATCAGCAGGACTAAATCAAGATCAGCAAGTCTAGGCTATCTCCATGAGACACTCTAGATTCAGAGCGAAAGGCCATCAAACACTGGCTTAAAAGCACAACCGCTTCAGCTGCCGGTGGCATTTGCCTAGGCACTTTGGAGATGCTGTTCACCAGGCGCATTCCCTCGTGAAAGGATTTCACCTGACTGGCTCAACAGTCTGTCAACCACAATGCATGTCTCATTGCACAAAATGGATACCGCCTCCGCCTCCGCCTCCTACTGCCTACTGCATATAGCGTCACAATCTTGTTTGAAGGCAGGCCTGGTCTATCGAGCCAAATCTCAGCACTGTCTCCATGGATGACAGCAGCAGCTCATAGGCAACGCTAGCCTGTGCAGCTACACCTGACAAGGCACTTGCCACAGGCGCCGCCATTGCTCAGGGACTCAGGGCTCAGGAACACCAAGATTGGGATCTGCAGCGAATCAGTGAAGTATCTCCAATGGTTCCTGGCCAATGTAACGCTTCATGTCATCAAACATCTCCTGTCTCATTATGAGTATCATTCTGCACCCATTTCTAGAAGAGGTGGTGGTGGTGTGGTGTGTTGTGCGAGCATTGTCAATCATTGTGAAATGGGATCAAATCCTGAGCCGCTCGCTTTGAGCTTTGTGCACAATCTCGTCAAAGATAGAGGTGCTTGTGCCCAAAAAGGGGCTGCAAAAAAAAAAGAGCTAAAGGTCCTTGAAGGGACCACCCACACCTCCAATATACTGGCATTGATTCCAATACATTGTGATAAAATGTGATATGATGTAATAAGCAGTTGTAATTGTAATGAATCACTTAAAACTCATCCTAATGCAGTGCACGGTTTCCAGGGTTCGAAGTTCAAACATCTCAAAAATCTTGACACGACAGCAGCGCCTCGATGCTGCCACCAGATGCCGCATGCAACCTAGGCATCCAACTGCTGGTGGGGTGGCATTTTCAGCCCCAAAAACATGGGAATATCATTACGGCCACGGCCACGGCCACAAGTCAGGATCCAGAATCCAGGAGCATGTTACTTCAATTGCATCGCAATCGCAATCAAGTTGCACAACAAAATATATCATTGAATTGAATATCATTGACGGGTCAATCATTGACATTGACACATGACATGGGAGATGCAAAAGAAATGTCACAGCGCTCACATTTCTTCGGCCCGCTCTTCTCTTTGGAAGATTCAGCGCGCTCTTCTCTTTGGAAGAGGTTGCCCACAGTGAAGGCAACGGCCAAGCGCGATACACTCGCTACATGCATGGTCCAAGTCACTGACAGAGCCGGAGCCGTCTGACGGAGTGTCCGGTCCTCCAGCTCTGTCAGGACTTTGGAATTCTCCCAACCAAGAATCAGATTGGCCATCATCGTCTGGGCGATCATCTCGGCCATCTCGGCCATCAGCTTGGCCATCTTCTGCTGGGCCATCTCGGCCATCAGCTTGGCCATCATCTGCTGGGCCGGCTGGGCCATCAGCTTGGCGATCGCACAGGCCCAGATGATCGGGGCGATCATCTTGGCCACTGCTGGTGCCACTGCTATTTGAGGCCTGGAAATGCGGAAGCCAGGTGTTGGATAGGTGCTCCAGAAACTGTGCAACTGTGGTGAACTCGTCCATCCTTGTCTCGTCTGCGCCTTCTGCGCGACCAGAAACTTCCTGTGCAACTTCTGTGGTGGACCCGTCTGCGCCGTCTGCGCGACCAGAAATCTCTTCCTGTGCAACTGTGGTGAAGTCGTCCACCCTTAAGGTCTTGTCTGCGCCAGAAATCTCTTCCTGTGCAACTGTGGTGAACCCGTCTGCGCAATCTGCGCCATCACAAATCTCTTCCTGTGCAACTTCTGTGGTGAACTCGTCGATCCTTGTCTCGTCTGCGCCGTCTGCGCGACCAGAAATCTCTTCCATTGCATTGCATTGCTTGGAACACTCATGTGGCACAGTGAACAAAGTGGTGAATCTCCCGTATAGGGGCAGTATAGGCTGTAGGCTGTAGGCATAGGCTATATATTGTTTGATTGATGGATGATGGACGTGGCGTGGACAGAGTGTGGATGTCACATGTCAACTCATAGACTCATGGATCTTCACAGTCTTCACAATGAAAATTGTCAACATCTAATTTTGGATCAAATGGTATGGTGCTGCATCAAAATCAAACAAAAGAAAACTCTTGAATCTTGAAGCCAAGGCAGCTGGCCATGGAATCGTGTGTTGGCAGTTGGCTATCAATGTCCCCGTGGCCCCAAAAACACAACGATTTGTCACATGTCCAGCATTCCTGGGCATTCTAGGACGAACCTATAGGAGCTGAGCTCTGCATTTAATGCATTTCAATGATTTCAATATCAAGAATCAAAACTTTACCAACAAATGATGCTGAGCTGAGACTGAGAGGCCAACGATTTGTCCGGGCATGGAATTCTAGGACGAACCCAAGAGCTGACCTGAGCTCTGCATTTCATGCATTTCAATGATTTCAATATCAAGAATCAAAACTTTACTGACAAACGCTGCAACAGTTGCATGGCAAAGATTCCAAAGATTCAAAGATGCTCTAGGACTCTAGGCTCTAGCCCTTGGCCCTTGCCCCTTGCCAATTGCAACCATTAAATTCACCAGCAGGTTGGTTGACATGTCGGATCTTTCGGCACTGTCCATGGGCCAGGGAATTTGGATCTGATGGCAAACCATCAGCACCCCGCACCGCACTGAATTTCAAATTGAATCAAATTGACACTAAATGTACATTCTAGTGCAAAATCAAACCATTGGTGCAAAACCTGTCATTCTGTACACTTGAGGCGGCCAAGATCTTGCTCTAATCGATCAAGCTCGATGTCCGATAGTATGTCGCATCGGCAGTCCCGGCAGATGGTATGCAATCGGGCAAATGTTTTCCTGAGTCTGGAAAGGGGAAAACACCATGTGCCAGTGCCAGTATTCATGATAAATGACAATGATAATCAGTTCAAATTCCCAAGTTCAAGGGGCTGCGGCATGTGTTTAAAAAAAAACTTAGACGACAACCAGATGGCCAAGCTTCTCGTCCAAAAACGATTCCAAAGAAGGGAACCAACAGCTGAGGCACAACTTTTCACATGCGGCAAGCTGCAATCTGGCCACAATCTCTGACTTGCGACTCGATGGCATGGCTGGAGCTTCCATGGGATCAAAAACTTGGATCTATGGGCAGTGGGTTTGAGATCATATGAAATTGCGCTCCAGAGAAAAAAATAGTCCATGAGTTGAGTCCATGTCCATGGTCATGGTTCATGGTTTGTCATCGATTTCCCCCTTAAGAGTGTGACTTCACTTCTCAGTAACAAGCAGTTATATTGGATCAGTTTTGTGGTGAAACCACTGGATCAATTTGGCGCCTTCTTTGATTTGTCTCCTGGTCCCTGAGCTTCAGGCTTTTGGCATCGCCAAGCTGGTGTCAGAAAGATCATCCTCGAAACCTCAGATACAAAAGGTTTTTTGTTGCGTGTTCAAACTTGATGCCTGGAATGTACAAAGCACCAAAACGGCCCCAAAAACAAACTTCAAGCCTCAAACCGCATACAACCTAGACCTAGACCTACACCTACACAATGACCCAACATGGGCTGCGCCATGTTCCAGATTTGAAGTCAGCCTCTCTTTCTGCTCTAAAACTCTGAGACCCTGCTGAGACTCTGAGAGCCTTGCCATTTCCCCAAGAGCAGAAAGAAGCCTGGCCCCACAAACTTGGAGACCCCACCCAATCAGCGCCACAAACACAAACCCATAAAGCAAGTGGGTTCAGTGAACATCACAAACATCAAGGCACGGCATAAGGTCCAGTCGGCAGTCCATTGATCATTTTTTTGTTCACGATTCTGGGCCAGGGTTGAAGTTCTCACAGGGCAGAAATCTCTTCCTGTGCAACTTCTGTTGTGAACTCGTCCACCCTTGTCTCGTCTGCGCCGTCTTGTGCAGCGGCCGAGCCAGGCCAAGTAAAGGAAATCCTGCATTATGTATTGTGCACCTAACATCATTCGTCTAATCAACTCTGAGTCATGAGTCAAGTCATCGAACTTCGATCTGCTGCTACTGCTACTATCAAATTGTCACTATCACTAAAGGAAATCCTTTCGGCTGCTGCAGGCTGCTGACTCCATTGAAACAGCAAGTCCGATGTCGCCGAAGACTTTATCAAGACTGTGACTGAGACACTGAGCGCATGATTGGATGGTCGCACTTGGACTCCGGATGATTTGAATGGAGGCAAGGCCCTGCAAGGCTGATACAAAACTGAAATAGTCAGTTGTCAGTTGTCAGTAGTTGTCAAATGACACATTCAAATTCAATCACAGCTACATCTGATTCGCTTCATCCCATTCAATAATCTCACCCGGAGCAATGCCCTGTAAACGATCCTCACTTGCAACCATGTAGACACCCTTTGATGCGATCCTCAGCAAAGTCTCATGATCATCAATACATTCCAAATTCCAATGGAAAAAGGGTCTTGCAAGCGCAAGGAGCACGGTTGGTGTTTTCTCATGCTTGGTTAGATTCCAATTCCAATCCACTTCAAAATGGCTCAATATCATTGCTGAGCCCTGTGCACCAAGTCGTCGCGAGGGGTCGTGGTCGTTGCTGGCTTCCCACTGCCTGAATACAAAATCAATCGATTGGATTCCGATCTTATCTTGAAAGTCTCATTCACCAAGCATCTGTTGTCAGGAATGACATAAAAGACCAACACTGAATGACAAGAATCAATTCTTGATTGTCTCAGCCTCAGCCCAGCACGGTCACACACCATCGGTCCGTTGTGGGTCGTCGTGACGATCATGATCTCCCCTTCCAAAGGGCCTGGACCAGTCATCTGCACCGCCACAAATGGGGCCTGGCGGCCACCGTCCAAGAACAGTTGACTATATGATGCGATGCGACATGACAGCATTTGTTTCCATCTGTCAATCTGTGGATATTGTTTCATTGCATTTCATGAGCAACTATGCCAGAGTTGCTGGAATCTCAGGAGTGGTGATTTCATCGTTCAGGAGTCTGAGCACCTTCAAACATGGCAACAGCACTGGCACTGAGAACAGAACAATCGGAAGTGAGTCACTCACTGGCAGTGGCATGGGCCAGCCTCCTTTATTCCCTTCTCCTCCACCATTTCTTCAAACTTCTTTGTCCAATTGATGTGGAGGTTATTGAGGATCTGCCTTCAGCTTGCAGTTTGCAATGACAATAGCTTTACATAAGTTTACAGTTTGCACTGGAAGTGCAGAGACCCTGGCCTGAGCAACGTGTGATTGCTGCAGCTAACGGCGTTGGCAACAAAGCCTTTGCCTTCCAGCAAAATGCCCCCAAACACAGACACGATTTTGAAGCTTTATGTTGGTCCCTTGATTCCATTTTGATCCAAACTAAGCACATGAATGTGAATGTTGAATGCAAATGCCGGTAAGTTGTCATGTCATGTCATGTCGCATTGACATTCTACACACTTTTGTCAATTGCAATAATGACAAATTGCACCCAAAATGACAATGCCCCAAAAATGATAATTCTGCGCTGCACTGCCTGATGGCACCACCTTGAACGACCCCTGCTCCAACTGAAAAGGCTCCATGATGGACACAGACATCCTAAGAGTGCGATCTGGTAGCAATATCATGGTAAGCTGAGCAAGCAGGGGATGGTATGGATGGGCTGCGACAATGTGCAGGTAATGGTGAACTGAGATCCAAGCCTGGTCAGGACAGCGGGTCAGCACAGCCAGGGATCCAAAAAGCTGCGTCAAGAAACATTCAATGGGAATTGGAATTTCACATTGGGATACCTATCAAAACCCAACAAAATATGGTATGGTTACAGTTACAGTTAAGTTATGGTATTTCAATTTTAGAATCCTGAAATGCCACTGATATTTTGATATTGTTCCCTCAGTTCCCTCACCCTCCAATCCTCCAACTTGGATTTCAAAACAAAATGTTGAATCTGTGACAAGATGGCGCACAATGAGAAGCAAGTCTCCAGTTGAAGACATATCAGTTGTCATACTGATAACTCCACTGCCACATCACAAAACATGCCTGATTGGCTGATTGGCTAGCACTGGCGCTGGGCGCTGGCCGCTGGCACCTTGGGAGAAGTTTGCAGTTTAAATGCAATCCCAATCCCAACCCATAGTAAGTTGATATTTGATGCATTGATGTGCAGTGTTCTTTCAGAAATCACGGATCTGCACAAATCTCTCATTGGAATTTAGTCGCATGGCATAGACTAGAAGTAAAAAGTTTAAACATGTATTTCATATGCATTCAACTGTAACTCTAACATGAATAAAAATGAACGGAAGCTTCTGCTCAGATCAAGACTGGCAACTGGCAACTGGCAACTAGCCCAAACGATGTGACCTGAGCTCAAACTTGTGTGATGATGCATTTTGCCGGCTTCCAACAAAAACACAAAGGCAAAGTTTCCAAAATGATTTAGTTTGGATTCGGATATTGGATCCCCTTGTGAATTAAGTGAAATCCCCTTGTGAATTAAGTGAAAGGTTGGTGTGAGCAAATTTATAATGATAAACCTGGACCTGGAGACAATGACCCGGCATTTTCAAGTTGACAATCTCTATAGAATTGCTGTCACTGAGTCACTGAGTCAATCACTGAGTCACTGAGGTTGTTTATGACTATGTACTATGAACTTCATATGAACATAAATTTCTATATGTAGACACCAAGTCACCAAGTCACTCTGATTCCCCATTCCCCAGGTCAGGTCCCCGAGTCCCAAGTCCCAAGTCAAAGTCTCATTCATTGACAGCTGACCTGAATATTCCGTTACTCCAGTCACCAGTCTGCAGTTACTCCAGACTCCAGCTGTTCTTGCTCCAAGTTTTCAGCGGCACTCAACTTGGAATT